AACAGTAAATTGCGATATCGTCAGCATAGTACAATATTTTTACAGAGTCAGGTAGAATAGTATGTGAAAGGCAATATACAAATTAAATAATATGGGGCTGAGAATGGAGCCCTGAGGAAGGCCGATGGTGGTGTCACGGTTTTGCAAATTGATGCCCGCAGCGAAATCTATAAGGTGCCTGCGGGAAGTCAAAGCCTTGATGAATTTCAAAATTTTGGGAGGAAGCCCGAATTGAGAAAGAAGGATTAACAAAATCTCCGGACGAACCCTGTTAAAAGCTCCCTCAATATCGAGAAATGCAGCAACAGTAAACTTACGGGCTTTATTATACATATGGACACACGTAGTCAATGTGGTGATACTATCAGTACAGAATAGTCCTCTCCTAAAGCCAAACTGGGATTTGCAGAAGAGAGAGAGAGCCCTTCTCTGCCCACCATTCGATTCCTTTATGTATCAGCTTTTCGAATATTTTTAGCAAATTATTGGCCAGTAATATAGGCTCCAATCGAGCGGTGTCCAATCGTTCCGTGTCCAAACGGGATACGCCCTATAGGCCTTAGCGAGTTCTTACGGCCAGGTTTAGGTATAAAGACAATGAAGTACTCAGTCCATTGATGTGGGTACTCGCCTTTATTGAAAATTAAGTTAAAAATTGTTAATATAAGAAGATGAAGTGCATCTGGGAATTTTTTAATTATTTTATTAGATATAAGATCAGGGCCAGATGAGGTTTTAGTTTTCAGCGTGGAGATGGCTTCGTAATATTCTTGTTTCGAGAATGGTGTGAAAAGGAACTCTTTGTTGCCATTGGTATCAAAGTTAGACAGATCAGATATGAAACTCTGAATGTTAGGAGTGGAGCTAAGAACAGAAGGGGACAACTTATTAAAAGCGTCAAGAAAAACGCTCTCAGAGATGTGAGAGTGAGGAGAATTGTTGGTATTTCTATTCAAAAAGGCTTTGATATATTTCCATACAGTAGTAATTGGCGTGTTCATGTTCAAAAAAGAACAGAACTCACGAAAAGCGAGTTTCTTTTTCTTATTGAAGAATCTTGATGAGTATTTTCTAAATTCAAGAAGTTCTGTTAAGTTATTCAATGTGGGTGATAGTTTAAATCTTCTAAAGATTTGATTTTTTTTAAAAATTATCTCCTTGCACTCATCGTCCCACGATGTGGTGGGAGGCTTTTTCCTGATGTTATTGGAAGGTAGCTTTTTTGCACCAGATATTAAAAATGCCTGGTGAATAACGTTAATTAGGTTATCATAGGCATTGTCTAAGTTGCTGCCAAAGTTATGTCCTTGATTTGCGAATTTAGAGCATTTTAGTTGAAAAATAGACCAGTCGACTTTAGAAATGGTGAAGGAAGGACGTCCATAAAACCCATACCAGACTACGCATTGAAAATTGAAGATTAAAGATTAAAGGTTGGAATTTGACTAATCAGAACAAAAAGGACTAAAATTTCTTTATTCTGATTGGTCAAATTTCAATCTTGAATCTTGAATCTCAATTTTTAATGCGTAGTCTGATACGAGCATAAGAGGGCTTTGTGTGATTATTGATGATTGAAATTATGATGGGGAAGTGGTCGCTGCCGTAATTGTTCTCGAGAGCGTTCCAAAAGCATTTTGGGGCGATAGATAGAGAGGCTAAAGTTATATCGAGAGCAGAGGTGGATGAGAGATCCGCGGAAGCCCACGTGCAGCTTCCATCATTGAGACATAAAAGGTCGAGTAATGAGACAGCATTTTCAAGTTTGCGTCCTTCCGCATCCGGAACTCCAACAGCCCTGGGGATCATAGGGCACTCTTCCCGTTCACGTCACCACATACGATGGGGTTAAAGTTGGAACAATAATGAAGTATAGATTGCCAAGCGCAAGATTCGGTATGTAAGCAGTTACTACCGCGTGGGGGGTTATAAAGCGAGCAAACATATATGAATTTATCTAGACTGAGCTATACTTTACCCAAAATATATTCAATATTATTACGGTTACAGATGAGGTTTATATTATCGTCAGTAATTTGTGAAAATCTAAGCTTCTTATCAATGAGTATAGCTACTCCACCACCATGACAATTTCGATCACGTGAGTAAATGTCATAGTTATTGACACTGGGACGAAGTGTTCATCCAATCTGGTTTCACAAAGTGTGGCAATATTGATATTATGTTGATCTAATAGAAAAGCAAGTTCTGGGATTCTCCTTTGCATAGAGCGGCAATTCCATTGGAGAATATTAATGCTCATAGTATAGATTGAACTATGAAAAAAGTAATATTATGACAATATATCAGGAGCAAAGGGAGTTGTTAGGAAGAAGAACTCCCATTTGTGACAGAGTGTCTGTTTGTATAGTCTTAACCGCAGAAAATTTATTTTGGCAATCGAGAATCCAATTTTCTAATATATCAGAATTGGGAGTGAGTATGTTGCGTTCACTGACCGGTGAGATAGAGGTTAGAATGGAGGAACGTTTATAGATAACTGTTTTATTGCTTGGGCAAATATTAATGTTTGTGTCCGGAGTGGGGTTGAGAGAAATGGGAGAGGGGGATGTGGTAGAGGGGTTTGTTAATGAGGAGTCAGGTACTTTGTGTTGCGATCCAACATCATGCCTTTTATGGTTAGCAGATGTTATAGCAGAGAAGTTATTTGTAGTATACTGGGGCTTGACAATATTAGGAAAGCGTTTCTTATTAACATCAGAAGAGGGAGGAGAGAAATTAAAATGGCTAGAGTGGTTATTTCTGGACACCGCTTCCGCGTAGGACTTTGGAAGGGCATAGGGAAGAAATTCCCCAAGAGTGGGAAGAGGATGCGAGAGAGAACAATTCTCTCCCGCCGGTTGTCGATCGAGGGTCTGCGCTCTGGAGCATTGTGATAGCTTCAGACTGAGAGATGCTATGAAATGCCATAAGTTTCTTGATTTTCCTTTGCTTTTGGAAGATAAGGCAGGAGTTGGAGGATGCCTCATGTTCAGCGACGTTATCAGGCAATTTATGTCTTTTGCAGTTAATGCATGACGGTTTTTCAGCCAAACACGGCTCGTTAACATTACTGTTACAATCATGAGATGATACAAGCTTACCACAGCGTTGGCAAACTGCGTTCTTGTCCGCAGTTCGGCAAATCTTTGCAACATGCCCAAATCGTTGACACTTCTGGCACCTTCTAACCTTATCAACGAAAGGTGTCAAGTAAAGCCTTTTACCCATGTATATGACGCTAGGTGGGACTGTTAATGTTCTGAAACGTATAACATATGAATCAGATTCAATATATTTAGTAGTGAAAGTATTATCGCTATTTTGTGTACGGATAGGTCTTTTAAGTCTAGCAGCCTCGAATGGAGGTTGCCATAAAATGTTCCATTCCGGTGGTGAACGGACATTTTTTATTATTTCTTCGGGAGAGTCGTCATCATCGACACCCCTAACTATAAACTGTTTAAAAATTTTATAATTAGGCACATATGCTATCCATGCTTCTCTGGGAAAGATGGTATCAGCTTTTTCGTTAAAAACGTCGCAGAATTTATTTGCAGTATTACCATCGGTGAACGTTACTGAGAATTTATTTTTAAATCGAATGCGGATAAAAAATTGTCAATGTACTTGGTTATACGTTTACCAAAAGCGATTATACCGTATGTTGGACCGGTGTTGGACCGTTGGTTAGCGTTGGATGTGATATTATCAAGGTTATTTATACCTGTTTTTATGTTGTTATTTGTTTCTATAACTTCGAAATCCCGCGCCTGTGAGGAGGGAGGAGACCTAAGGATAGTTTTTTCAATATGAATGATGAACGGAGGTTTAACGTTGAGGCCATACTTATTTTGTAAACGAGGGTCTCGAATGTTAACAGAGTCTAAAAAAGATCTTTTTGGAGGGAGAGGGCTTCTTAATACAAAAGACTGACTCCTCTTGCGATTACGATATATAATATCGCAAACTTTCTCAGCAACATCTTCGTTGCTCGTCCCTATGGACTGACAAGAATTTTGAGTAGCGCTTTCAGGGTTTTTCTCAATTTCTACCTCCATTATTTATATGTGTTAGCTCTTGTATGTTATTCGTATATGCGTGTAGTACGCAGTTTTCGTCCAACGGACAATATGGCCGTGGCCACACTTACGTGGCGACGCAAGATGCTTCCAGGGCCAGGAAGATCAAATGCACTATGTTATGCATGTCTCGCAGACAGAGACGGATCACAGTCAGCAAGATGTTTCACACCCGGACCAGTAATATGGCCCGCAGATCTCTTAAATGGCAAAATAACGATTAGCACTAAGCCACGATGTTCACTCGCCGAGAGAACAAACCACCTTGTACCAATGCAGAATGGACCGTGACACAAGAAATAGACACAGAATTTCCATCACGTTGGAAATTCTGTGCCTATTGCCTGTTGCCAACCAATCACAGCGTTCGAATTTTTGAGGTTGTATTTACGAACTTTTAGTGCGTGTATACACATGCCATATACGTTTTACAAGCTCTATTTTATTACAAGCAGCAAATATGTTCGATCATTGTGATTATTCGAATCGTTTCGAGAATACAGAAGAGGAAGAGTGTGATGATGGTCTGGACGTATTTAATCATCAAAACTCATTTAATAAATATGTAAAATTTGGTGATGAATTATTAATAGATATGGTTCGTTCTCATCCATATCTTTATGATAAAAGTGTAGAGAATTATAAGGATACGACAATGAAGGAGAATGCATGGACAGAAATTGCCACTGCTCTAAACATTACACATAAGTAAACTTGAACCGTTAATTTGAGACAGTCTCAGAGACAATCCTTCTTTTCAATCTCCATTCTCCAGTCTTTAATTATCGCATTCTACTAAGTTTTATATGTATTACATGATTATAGTTGTTTATGTATGATATAGTTGCAGAGTGCAAGAATCGATGGATACGTCTTCACCAACGCTTTAGTAAGGAAAGGCAACTGCGAGAGTTAGAGACAAGGAGTGGAGCCGGAAAGCCTACCAGACAAAAATGGATGTTATATGAGAGCCCTATTTTCTTGGAAAGGCATATAACTCAAAGAAGGTTTGTTTCATTTATTTCCTCAAATGATCATAGTTCTGTTGATAAATTCGAACAATTCAACATACTCAACAACGATTTATCATTTCAGAAACTTTTCTAATATCAATTTTACAAAGCTATCCAAGCCAAGCAATGTCAGTGGAACATCGTTGAAAACCCAACATTCAACAATTCTTCAGGATGACTATGAAATGTCCACCAATGACAATTCCAATGTGCGACTTCTTTTTTCTTACCAATATTATCTTATTTGAGAAATATGTTATAAAAACTCATTTTACTCACGTTACAGCACAAGACATCAACTTCAACATCCGGCCAGCAGTCACTGCATACATCGACGTCGAAAGAAATATGCAACACATTGCCAAACATGTCGATTCATAAAAATCAGCTTACTGTTTATTTGGAACAAGATCATGATGTGAGTATAATCATGAATCAACAGGAGAAATGTACAAAATAATATTTATATACATTTAATCGATGTTTTTAATATTCCAGTCACAGTCACCCTCGCCGTTGCTACGCCGTACGCCACTTGAAACAACTAAAGAAACTTCATTGGTAAGTAATTTTAAATCGTATTATCAATTGATTCTAACAAAATGTAAAACTTACGAATTTCAAAATTCCTTTGTAGCCATCGACATCTTTCTTGTCCCAAACATCTGCTTTGGAGACAGAGGGATCAGTTAAAGTCAGTCCACCAACTTCTTGCTTTTCGGGGAACCAGCAAAGGACTTTTAAAAAGCGGAGAATTGACCCAGTGGAAACAGCATTCCATCAGATGAACAACACATTAAATATAATGGTAGCTGAAGTGTGTTCCCGGAGGAAACCGGTAAACGAGAACGATCCAGATGTTCTCATTGGAAAACTCGTCACAGCGGAGCTTCAAATGACAGCAGAACCACACAAAAGCGAGTTAAAACGAAAATTTATGGAGTTGCTATATTTTTCTAAATCCAAATGAATGTAATTTTAAGTTATAATTTCTATCCACGCATTCTCCTTAATTTTCATATAGTTTTTATTTATTTTACTTATGACGTTAATTTTGTTATTTCCTATTATATATTATTACATATATATTTTATTTATTATTATATTTAATTTCAATTTTAATTTTGTTCTATTTAGTATCAGAATGGATAATTTATTTTAATTACACTGTTTTGTTATTTAATTACATAATTTATAGTATTAGAATAGATAATTAATTTTAATTACATCGTAGTTTATTATACATAAAAGTTTATTTGGTTTCTAATAAAAGAACAATTTTATATTTTGCATATGAAAATAATAAATGTATTTACAATATTTTTCATATTGTTGTGTCTTACTGCAGAATATAATACAATTAGTCATCACATATAAAAATGTACGGAGAACAATACAATTGTAAATTTTAAGGTACATTGTAATGTTGTCCTCAACGTATATATTCATATTGCCAAGGAACTTTCCCAGCTACTGTCATGAAGTATGACGAGAGAGTATCACGCATTGCATATGCTTCTCTAGTAGCTCGGTGTGCTCCTGCATTTCCTATAGGTCTTATATGGTTATCTTATGACTGTTGTCTCCACTCTCTTTTTATTAAATCTCCTTCTATTTCTCTGTCTGCAAATTGGGGAGGACAATATCTTTGCTGCAGCGGGGCTTTCTCATAATTTTTAGTTTTTAAATAATTATGCAAGCACATTGTTGCCAGCATCAATCGGTTAGCAACATCTGGATTAGCATATATTGTTCTTTGAAATATCCTCCATATGGCTGCAAAGATTCCAAATGTATTTTCAATTGTCCTTCTGGCCCGGGATAGTCGATAATTAAAAATCCTCTTTTGCTAATTTAAAGATCTCCCTGGATAAGATCGCATCATGTGTGTAGACATTTGAAATGCTTCATCTCCAACAAAATAATAGGATACTTCCTTGTCACTTCCTGGTAGACGAGCAGTGCCTCCAGGTATATTGAGCATACCTCCGTATAGAGATTGTCCGAAGTTTGATCTGGAGAGGATTCCACCATCACCTTCACTGCCATACGCACCAACATCGAACAGCGTAAACTTATATTGAGCATCACAAGCAGCCACCAGCACAAGACTGAAAGTCTTCTTATAATTAAAATACATTGAGCCAGAGTTTGGAGGTGCCTGGATCATTATGTGCTTGCCATCGATTGCTCCAACACAATTTGGCAAATTCCATAATTCTAAAAAAATTACTGCTGATTCTTGTCCATTCTTCTTCTGTGAGATGTTTCATATAAATTGGCATGGGTGACACCCGTTTGGACACGGAACGATTGGACACCGCTCGATTGGACACGTAATATTGGGCACGGAACGATTGGACACTGCACGATTGGACACAGAATTATTGGACACCGCACGATTGGACACTGCACGATTGGACACTGCACGATTGAACATTCACGATTGGACACAGTGGGTTCCGTCCCCCCTTCGGGGGGGCTCCACTATCAAAAAACTAGACACATAGGTTTGCGTTGAAACTCGCTTCGCGTGGAAAGTTGTAAACCTATGTGGAACCTTACTTCGCATTAAAAAGAATATGCGTGGAGGTAGTATGTTCCGCCCCCCCCCCTACGGGGGGGCTCCACTTCCGTAAGATATAACCTAACCCATACCTATTTCTGATTTAAAATTAAGATTTATGTTTCTGCTTGTGCCCTCTTTATGCATAATTACCGGTGTCCAATCGTGCGGTGTCCAATAATTCTGTGTCCAATCGTGCAGTGTCCAATCGTTCCGTGTCCAAACGGGATACGCCCAATTGGCATCAGAACATCTGCTATAACAGAGCATGTTTCCTTAAGAATCATATGAGCGGTGGACTCTCCTACTCTGTATGCTAAAGCCACAGATAACATCTGATCTCCTGTTGCTAAATATCTGCAACAAAGTTAATTGATGAAAACTCCGTTCATGAAATATATATATATTATTTTAAAACATATATATCTTTACCTCAGAGTTATTGCGAGATGTTGTTCTGGACATATTGGGGTTCTGATACTTCTTTTCTGCAAGAACGAACCTGCTAATCGCAGTAATTCGTAAAATGTGGGCTCATCCATACTTGTATATCGAAAAAACATATTTTCATCTTCTTTCAACTCTGCAAACAAAGTTGCGAAGTCACCATACTGTGCACGTCGAGTATTGATGGGACGGACCCACCATCGCCTGTTCCTCCAGCGCTTGGATTTTTCCGCCTTCCATGCAGTATACAATGCTAAACTAGCTACTTGCATTGCACAGAGAAATAACATTATGCTTTCGTTATCCATAGCAAATAACCTAAAAAAATGTTAATGAAAATATTATATACTAATAAAACCATATACAATACAGAATTATATTTATATATACATACTTGTAGTGTTATACTACTGTATTGTTCGCTTGGAGGTAGGAACATGCAGGGGATCGCTGAGGTTTCGGCTAATAAATCTGATGGCTCTTTTACCACAACATAATATCTATATTTTCGTTCTTTGGTTTACATGCGCGCGAAGTAATCGATTGGAACGTAGCGTCGAAGAAAAAAATAAATAATTGTCTAAAAAAATACATTGTACATAATTACGGCTGAGGGCGTTCCCGCCAAGTTATACGAGGCTCGGTGGTGGTTATTCGGAGGGAGCCGATGTAAGGTAGCGCAGGTAATGGTACGCGTCTAAGTGCCGGTGGAGTCCCGGGTGGCGTGTAGCTGCGTTCCTCGCGGGCTGTCTCCGTCTGCGTGGCCGAGTCCCGTGTGTTGGCTTCCCAATCGCTGTCTGATTGAGTGGAGTTGTCGACCTGTGTCAGTGGCTGATAATGCGTGCCCCTGTGCACTCGTGTGGCCGGCTGTGATTGCGTCCCGCAATCACGGTGATGTACACTGGATTTCACTTGCTGGCGCCGACTCCCGCTCGTGGCCGCCTCACGGCGAGCCTTCGGGGCTCGCGCGGTGCTCGCGCGCGGGTTTCACGTGCTCCGCGCGTGAGAATTCGTTCGCGCGTCTACCGGGTAGTTCGCGCGTAATTGTGGTGGTTTCTCGAACCGCCACATATATATACAGGGTGTCCGGTAAAGATTGTGCCAACTCTCGTGAGCGGGTAGAGCACAGTAATCTGAACAGAAAAGTCCTGTAACATTTTTTTATATAACGCGTAATAAAGGAATTATTATTGAGTAAAGTCTGGCCAATCGGCGCTCTAACCTGTATGCGTCTACAACGTAGATAAGTATCACATTACATCTTAAGTGCGATTACGATTTTCATAATGTCTCAAGACGAGTTAATACGAAAGCGGACGACAATAAAGGCGAAACTTACTTCATTTCAGTCATTTTTAAAGAAACTTGAGAACGAACCGACAAAATGTAAGGAGTTATCGATAAGATTAGAACGCGCAGAAAATCTATTGACTGAATATGAGGATATTCAATCCCAAATCGAAATGATGACGAAAGAGATAGATGTCGATGAGCGTACAAAATTCGAAGATTCGTATTACACAATTATTGCTCTAGAAAGACAAGCTAATTCCGTAGGTCAACAAGCAACACATTCAACGGCACCGCTGGCAGCAGCACCGCTGGCAGCAGATATTACGGCACAGACGAATTCGTTATTGAAATTACCTAATATAGATCTTCCAACGTTTAACGGTGAATACGATCAATGGGTTACATTTCGTGATACATTTGAAGCTATTATTGACACTAACACGAATTTAACAAAAATTCAAAAGTTTTACTATTTACAGTCGGCAGTGAAGGGTCGTGCAGCACAATGTTTTAAATCGTTAAGCCTTTCCAATGAAAACTACGACGCAGCATGGAAATTGTTAAAAGCACGATTTGAAAATACGCGATTAATAGTGCATCATCACATACAAGCGTTACTTGAATTACCAATAATCTCGAAAGAGTCAGCCGGCAGTCTTCGAAAATTAATCGACGATGTACAACACTTGTGTGCATTAACAAAACTTGAACAACCCGTGCAAGCATGGGATACGTTATTAATCCATTTAATCACGCCGAAGCTTGATGCTAAAACAAAACGAGAATGGGAGTTTAAACGCAAATTTACGAAGCTACCAACTATGACTGAGTTCATGGAATTTTTAAATAAACGTTGTTCAATCCTAGAGACTTTAATATCACCAAATAAACCATGGGACAATTTACTGCCTGACATAAAATCTCATAAAAAATCTATAGCTTTAACCGCACAATCAACAAGAAACAAACAATGTCCATTATGTAAAAATCAACATTGGTTATACGCTTGTCCGTCATTTCGTAAATTATCAAGTCATGATAGATTACGTGAATCAAAACGATTAAAGGTCTGTTTAAACTGTTTACGTTCTCACGCAGATCGCGAGTGCACGTTTGGGAGTTGCCAGCGGTGCAAACGCCGTCACAATACCATGTTGCATATTGATTCTAACGATAATTCACATGTTATAGCAGCTAATGTTAACGAATGTGAGTCATTTAATAAGAAAAAGAATGATTCTTCACAATGTAGTACAACTGTCACAACATCACATTGTACGACAAGGGGCGTAAAACAAGCGTTATTGTCAACGGCGATTCTTCTTGTATCCGACAAGAACGGCAATTATCAGGAATGTAGTACATGTATATTACTCTCACACGCATGAAAGAGACAAAGGTAGTACGATTATGTCTGTCCTTGTCATGTAAGATTGCAGCTCCGTCTATCGCGACATCATGCAACTAATCTACTGCTCTGTTTTACTCTTGAGCCTCGATCTCGCACACACACATATGCACGAAAGTGTAGGATCGTAAAATCTTTTTTCTAAAGCTTCTAAACTCACTTCTCTAAGTTCACTTATACTCTTTGATGAAATGCCGAGTGCGGGGTTTACTGATTAGGCATGTACAGATTACAAATTTGTTATATTAAGCAAATGTGACGGCAGAAGCCGATAACAAAACTGTCATTTTCTCATTTTTTTTTAACTTTTCATATGAAATGTTAAACTCCGCACTCCGTTATTATGTGTACTTTAATTGTGGAAAAGGATTTGTTGATATCTATAATCAACAAAAAGATTTTGCATTCCTACTAATATTCGCATTCTGTCGGTAATCCGGCATCCTCTTAATATCAACTAAGGCTAGGTTCCAAAACGGTGTAAAATTCTCTCTCTGAGAAAAATTTTACTCGATGGCCGGCCTGGAATCAATCAGAAAAGCCCAAAAAAGTTTCGGAACGGCCATCGAGTAAAATTTTCCTTGGAAAGTACATTTTGGAACGTAGCCTAATAATATGAATTAAGTATTAAAAAATATATTGTTATAGATACAATTATAGGTTATATTATTATTATTGCTGTATTATTACTACATTATTATCATTATTATTACGTTATTTTATATTATACATTATGTATTATTATAAATATAATTTATGCCTTTGACGGACAGTTATGGCTAGTCGGTTAGCTATATATATCTTTCTCTTTCACACTTCCGGTTTTACCTCAGGCGACGGAGCTAATCAGAGATCGTTAACGGTGTGTCCGATCTCTGTTTAATGGCCCTCGCACACTAGATGCGATGAGCGATGAGCGATGGGCGATATCCAATGAGAGCTTTGCTTTTCTGAACATCACATCCGTCGCGAGGCTCGGCGCGACGTCGCTCAAAAGGTTGGTCAAGTTTCTACTTTCGTCGCTCGCGCTGCGCGAAAGCTGGCGACAACCATAGACTACACAGAGAAAAATGTACGATACTTAGGGCCGGTATTCATAGTCAGTTCTTCTATTTAAGACCGTCTTAAGCACAATCTTAAGATGTCCTAAACCAATCACAGAGCCGTATTAGCATCTTAAGACATTACTTAAGACGGTCTTGAAATAAGAACTGACTATGAATACCGGCCTATATAAAGTGATATCATGGACCACGATTATTCAGAAATGAATTTCGAGAATATAGAAAATATGAAAATAAAAATTTTTATTCATTAAATTAGTATTATTTTTATTATTACAATTACACAGGGTGACCCATTTTATTTTTGTCAGTCAAATATCTCAATATCACGTAGTTTTAGAAGAAAATGTTTTAAACAGAAGTTGTATGGTTTCAAGGGGGACATAAGATAGTGGCAATGATTTAACTTTGGATAGTCATTTGAAGGTCACGTGAAGGTCACTTTCAATTTCTTAAACAAAACTCCCCATTTTTTATTACATATTCTTGTAGTTTATCTCGAGAGCTTTTCAAAACACTACACTAAAGTATTTTTTCATTAAGTATTTTTTGATTTATTTTATATCTTAATCTGACATATTTCGATATAAAAAATAAAATATCTCGTAAAATATTTAGTTTTTGATAATCTCACCGTAATACTTTTATGTACAGAATAATGAGACAAATCAATTAGTATACAAAAAAAATTGTTTTTAAGAAAAAGTAAATAATTATTTACAATGTATTTTTTAAAACAATTATTTGTTTTTTTTTACACTAATTAATTTGTCTCATTATTCTGTACATAAAAGTATTACGGTGAGATTATCAAAAACTAAATATTTTACGAGATATTTTATTTTTTATATCGAAATATGTCAGATTAAGATATAAAATAACTCTCACGGATACACTTTCCCATCCACACAACAATTGTGGGTTAAACCTCGCTTCGCGTTGTAAAGTATATGGACGCAGTGGGTTCCGCCCCCCCTGCGGGGGGCTCCACTACCAAAATACTCGACACATAGGTTTGGGTTGAAAATCGCTTTGCGTGAAAAATTGTAAACCCATGTGGAACATTGCTTCGCGTTGTAAAGTATATGCGTGGACACGGTGAGTTCCGCCCCCCCCCTACGGGGGGGCTCCACTTCCGGAAGATATAATCTAACCCAAACCTATTTCTGATTTAAAACTAAAATTTAAAGGACTTATGAAAGTACTTTAAATATATTTCTTCACCGAAATAGCTGAATCCGACTATTGACAAAATATCTATGACCCTGTTTCTATCTCGTAACTGTAAACAAAAACATTTCCTACGTCCTCTGCAAGAAATACAATGTACACAAATATCACTGTTCCTAATTTTATTTTATAATACTTCAAAGAAAGCATTAAAATTGTGAAACTTTAGTTTATTATATCTTCTAAACGAATGCTTTCCCCCACTTTTTTCTTGTGGAGAATTATTCACAAGTAACACTAGGGAAGTGTCATACGGCGATTTTCCTGAAACTTGGCATACAAGTAGTACATGGAAAACTATTACACACGTATATTTTTATATCGGCCCGAAAGCCGTTTGAAGGGTAGAAATCACCCTTATCTATTTTGGGGGTAGGTTCGACTATTTTACGAATTATTTTTACGATTGTTGCGAAATCAGGTAACTAAAGGTTTTTGGGGTCGCTGATAACGAATCTGAAGTCCGTTTTTAAGAATTCAAAATGGCGGATCCAATATGGCGGTCGCATTTTTTCAAAAGGGAATCGTAAAAATTTGGACGTTTTTATTGTCTTTAAAGACTGTATTTTGAGGATGTTATTCCTTAAATGTAAATTTACATCACAGTTATACAGCATGACAATATCAGGAAATTGTCTTAAAAAATTCTTCCAAGGTCTAAAAGTGTAAACGTCCAGCGGTTGAATTAAACCAGTGGTTCCAGCGGGAATCGTAAAAATTTGGACGTTTTTATTGTCTTTATCAATATTGTCAAATCTTTTTTTAGTCTGGCCAGTCCAAGAATCTAACAAAAGAACAGAGTTTTCCCGGTGTTAGGTAAAAAACGTTTGTGAACCAATTAATGGCAAGGTCGGATGTTAATTTGCCTGATTTTGATGCAAATACGTGATTTTACTTTAGAAACAAATTCGCTTGATGCTTGTAATAATTTTTCCTTTGACGATATTTGTTTTTTAGTCACAAATTTATTTATCTTTCTCGATACAATTCCATGATTCACTTTAAAATTATGTACCCAAAATGTGGAAGCAGTGAATAATGTCGGTGACAAATTGATTTCTTCTCTAGCCCGTAAAGCCCATCTTTTTATATTAATGTCATGAATAGAAAGCAGAGGAAATTTCAGAGTAAATTTTGAATTGATCCAAAACATACTTCGAAATTTGTAATAATTTTTCATTTCTCGTGCCACCTTCTTTAATTTGTGCCTCCCATCTATACAATGACCTCAAACCAGAAACTTTCTTAAATCTGTGCTCTCTCTCTCTGTCTTTCTCTTTTATACCCATCGCATGTAGGAAACAGTTGATCGCAGCGAGCGCTTCACGTAATCACCAGCATCGGACGGTGAGTTGCGCCGCCCCTGCCTGCCTTGCGTACGCGGCCCGTAATTCGTTAATTATTTTGGCTTATAATTTGAAAACTAAGCCTCGGAAAAAATTTTGGCAAAGGAAAAATCGTCTTAGAATTGAGTCAAGTATATGACATTGTAAGGACAGAAGGTTGTTTTGAATCACCCTGTAGAAACGCTCCTGTGTGAGGCACAGCGTTACCCGCGCGATCCACCCTCCTCGGAGGCAGGCCCAAAGGATTCTGGGGGAGGGGGGGCCAACCATTGATTTCAAGAGAAACTACTGCAACTGAAGCAGTCACAGGCACTGAGATCTATAATTTCCAACCAATAACACAAAATGAAAGTCTCTTGTGGAATGCCTGGAAACAGGCAGAAGACAAAATAAAGCAATTGGAGACAATGATGAAAGCCTTACAGAATAAGGAAGAACCCAACCAAGTAAGGTACGAGACAAACGATGAAGATCTGGAAAGAGAAACTGGCTGGACTGAGTATAGGAAAGCCAATAGAAAAAGCGAAAGGCAAATACATCGCCGGGAACCTCTCCTATACAGACAGTAACGAATTATAATAACAGTCATGAGAAGAAAAGTTTACCTCCACCAATATTTGTGAGTGGTGTAAAAACTTTAACGCGTTTAAAGAAATAATACCTCAAAGTATTAAGAGTGAAATAAATTTTAAAATGCTTGGAAATAATGAAATTAAAATTAATACGACAAATAGTGACGATTACCGTGCTACTGTCCAATTGTTCAAAACGGCTAAATTACAGGAGAATCATTACCTATATGACATCGCATATCATACATGCCAATGCAAACATTCAAAACCCTACAAAATCGTGTTAAGAGGATTGCATCCGTCGACTAATATTACTGACATTAAAGAACAGCTAGCTAAATCAGAACACGAAGCAACACGCATATCTAATGTTATAATTCAAAAGAAAATAAACATGTCAATGACCAAAATAGCGTTGCCATTATTCTACGTAGATCTGATTACTATTATAAATCGAATAATAAGGATGTCTATAAATTAACTGAAATGCTGTATTGCAAAATTAAAATAGAACCTCCGCGAATGAAAAAAAAATACCTCAGTGTAAAAGGGAATCGGTCACATGCAAAATTATTGCCATAGGCAGACCAAATGTGTAAAATGCAGTGACAATCATCTCTCCGCGGATTGTAAGAAATTAAAAAAGACTCCATGTAAATATGCCAACTGTGAAGGTGAGCATACAGCCAACTGGAAGGAATGTCCAGTCTACAAAGATAAACTGGCATCTGTGCATAAGTTTAAGACAAATGTTACACAAAGGGTTCT